ACCTAGAACTCTAATCTGTTGCAAGTCTGTGGCATGTCTTCTTCTTCAGCCCCGCCGCATGGTCCACATGATGTCGCCGGCAACCCTCCTCGTGCGACACAATTCTCTCTTTTCTCTTTCTAACAAATCTTAAGGTACAACAGTGCAACATATTGATAGATCAAGTCTGATATAGTGTGATACCCCTCGGATCCGAAACACGGGTTGATCAGGCCCAGGCCCAAACCCGAGGGAAATATCAAACAATTAAAGTATTTTAAAACGAACACTGATGACAAAAAACAATAAAGATAGAATAAAGCTGAAAGAAATAAAAATAATAAAACCTTCCATGTATAACTGAAAAATGAAACTCCAATCCTCCAAAACTTCAAAGTTACAACTTAGGAATCCACTGGTGGACCCCTAACCAAAAGTTCAACTGAAACTGAAAACTGAAAATAGATAATGCTAGAAACATCGAGAGAAGTCCTACGTAATCAAATGAATGTGAGACTGTCCTTGACAAGCACGATTAAGCTCTAAGGCTGGAACCGTCATGTACCTGAAAAGAATAATAAAGGAGTGGGTCAGACCCACGAGCAAGTTCTAATCTAACTGTAATCCATATAGTGACTCGATACGCAGATACACCGTAGACACCTCACAATATCTATCTAGTCCATACGTATAAATATATCCACACTAAGGGATATTCACTAGTCTATAATAGGGGTCTCAACCTGAATAGAAGGCAACATGTGAATACGCACCCAAAGGTGGGCATGAGTACCTAGACCTAACAGGGTACACCTCAACCTATTATAACCAGCTACGCATCCATTGCATATACGCACCCTGACCAACGAGTCTGAGACTCAAGCTCAGTTCGTGGTACCATAAACATATATATAAAGTCCGTCCAAATTCAGGGTATGTAGTTCAAATATTTATTAAACTGACATACAACAAACTAACTAGTTAATCACTCAACTTATTCAGTTGATGTGAATTAACTACCATCCATTAATCTAGGAAGTCATCCAACTTGGTTACAGCTGATCTGACTTAGTCATAAATATGATTTAGTATCTTTCAATCCATTCCATTAATCCATTAGGTTATGTTTATGCGTTTTGAGCTAAACCGTCCCTAGTATGTCACCGTCCCATACCGGTACACACAATCCTCCATATCCATGTAAATTACAACATATATAATAGTTCAACAATTTATAGACCCAAAACCACCATCCAAATAATTGCACAAAAATATTTAAAGTTTCAGCAATTTAAATCCAAGCATTTAACCATATAGTTGCAGGAGACGATTTAATAAATCAACAACTAACATCCAGAGCCCGCATAGACCAAATTTAATATGTCAAGGACTCTATCATGCATGTGAATAAGTTAGATAATCCTATTATTATCCAATAAATTTCTAAATCAATTTCAGAAGGTTGTTTAATGTTTCAGTAATTTAAATCCAAGCATTATCCATATAGTTACAGGAAACGATTTAATAATTCAGCAACTAGCCTCTCGAGCATGCATAGATCAAAATTAATAATTAAATGACCTTATCATGCATTTAAATGTATTTTAAAACAAGTTTTATAAACACATTACATTCCATCAAATTGCTGAAATTTATTTCAACAATTAATTTAACTTCCATTTATTAACAACATAGGAAGTGCCTTAATTTTTACACTATTTTTTCCGACAATTTAGAATTAAACTTTAATCAATTTAGGGTCTTAATAACACTTAAAATTCATTCCTTAATCCCTCTGTAAAGTTCCAGATTCACTCAAATAGTCTCCATGCTCCAACAGTGTTAAACAGTACGTAGAAAACTAAAAAAAAAATAACAAAAAAAAAAAAAAAAACAAACAAAATTGAAGATGGAGCCTGCCCCAAATTTTGGGAGCAGGCTCTTTCAGCCTAGAGCCGGCTCTAGGAGTCCTTAGAGCCTGCTCTACTTGTTGTGGGAGCCGGCTCCCACATCCATGGAGCCGGCTCTCACCTCCTTTGATAGCCTCTGTCCCCGTTGCTTCGTTTCAGTCCGTCTGCTCCCTCTCTGATCAATTCCTACCACTCTGTTGGTTTCTAAAACTAATCTTAGGAGTCATTAATTTAGTCTAGAAGCATCCCCAAGGTTGTTTACAATAAATTTGAAAACAATTACTGAGTTTAAACAAAACCATTAAACTAGCATGCTTGGAAAACAACACTGGAACAGGTTTCAGAAAACTTCAATTATCTTCCAAACCCTCTATTCCTCTTCATCACTGAACCTAAGGATCTTATATCAATCCCAATAACATCCCCATGGTTCATTTACAGAGACTAAAAACAATTCCAAAGACTAAAGTTACAACAGAGCAACATGCTTAAAAAAAACAGAAAACTGAAACGAGCCATGCATGAACTGTAACAGAATGGTTTTCAACATAAACAGATCATTCATATGACATATATTAAACATATATCATCCAGTTATTGATTGATTAAACCCTAGAGATTATCTAGGTGCACAGAACACGAGCCAAAGAGAAGGAGAAAGAGAAGAACTTGCTTGTGATTTCAATTATGAAATCCCTGCGTCGTCTCTAAGTTTTCCAGCAATTCTGAACGCCGTCAAGCTTCCTATAACTCCGTCTCTAATCCTTACTCAACCTCCTTGGTCCTCTCTGTACAATTCCTCTTAAGCCTCACTCTGGTTTCCCCCAACTGCTCTTTGTTTCTCTCTCTATATCTTTTGTACGTGAATAGGGTTTTTCCAACCCTTGATATAGATTATAACCGTGTATATATAGGTGTAAAAAAATCCTAAACCCTAATCCTTGTTTAATTAGAGACAGAGCCCTAATTCTAAGCCTAGTCGGCCCATAAACCTATCTCTGTTACCACAGTGCGGTTTACCTATACGTGAATTGCAACCCAGAGCTAACTGTAACTTAAACCATAATTAAATTAAAAATCCAATTAAATAATTTAATACACTTAACCAATTAATTCCAATTAAAATAACCCAATTAAACAGTTAAAAACACTTAAACAATAAATGCCAATTAAATAATAAAAGATAACTTATTTAATTCAATTTAAAACACATGTCACCTAGGTAAACAATTTAAATCAAATTAATAAATAAAAATAACACATAGGTAAACAATTAAATCAAATTAATAAATAAAAATAATTAAACCCAATAATCACCCAAAAACAATAAAAATAATAAATAAAATGCCGAAACCATCCTTTTAAAATTAGGGGTATTACATATAACATTGTAAGGTTTGATTTAATCTTGTTCTGTATTATTTTTTTTTCTTTTTTGTCGGAGATGGAGATAGGGTGATTTTGTTTCTCGGTCGAAGATGAAGATCGGATTTAATGGAAGAGATCGGGTGATTTCTTGAATTGGTGGCTATTGGGTAATGTAAAGATTCCAAGCCGAACCCGAGCCTGAGCCCGAGCTTGTCCAATCTCTATCGAACCGAGCCCAAGCTGAGCTAGTCCAAGCTCGCCCGAGCACGTTTGTGGAGTTAACGAGCCGAGCCCGAGCAAGCCAAAGCTTGGCTTAGCTCGGTTCATTTGCAACCCTAGGCAAGAGAGAGACACACACAAAAGGAGCAAGGATAAGTCCCACCAGCAGCCATGGGGATTGGGTTAGCAAATAATTATCAAAAAGTAACCTTAAAAAAAAAAAAAAAAAAAAAAAAATTGACGTTTTACTTTATGAAATGCTATTTTACTCTAGGATGGTCTGAACTCCTGAGTGTCTAAGGCTTCGTTTGGATTGAGTGATTTAGAGGGATTTGGAGAGAAAAAAAAAAAGGGAAGGATAGTGATTAGGGTGTTTGGATGGGAAAAAAAAGAGAGAAAAGAAAGGATTGGGAAAAATTTCCCTCCAAAATTGATAATATTTAGAGGGATTTGGAACAAATTACAGAAGGGGCAGTTGAGAGACAGCCGGTTATATATATATATATATATATAGTTTACAGTTGCACAGAGAAATAGAGTGGGAGGCTAAGAACAAGATGGATACTAGTGGGGAGGCTGAAGTATATATATATGTAGTTTGCAGTTGCACAGAGAGAGAGTTGCAAAACAAGAATTACAGAACTTGATTAGTTGATTTTAGAAAAAAATTTAGAACAAAACCCATACATACAAGTTAGTTGTTGTAGATAGAGAGGGGGGTAAGCTTGAAAGATATGGGTTTTGATTTTTAGAACAATCTAAAATGATATGTCGATGTAAGTTTTGATCTTCTGATTTTTGTAGATTTTGTAGTTTGCCGTTGGAGAGAGAGAGAGGAGAGAACGAGAATAGAGAGATGGAGGCGATTAGGGAGGCTGAAATGATTTTGCCCTACTAACCTTACCCAAAAGGGTAAGATGGTAATTTCATTATTATTTTTTCTTTTCTTTCCTCTCATTTGTGTTATCCAAACAACAAAATTGCTAATTTCTTTCTTTTCTCTCCTATCTATCCAATTATAGCTATCATTTCTTTTCTTTTTTTTTCTTTTCTTTTCTCTCATAATTCTCTCATATGTATCCAAACGAAGCCTAAGTAATCAGGATATGTAAAGAAAAAAAAAAGTCTCTAGGAAAGTAATTTTTACATTAGATTAATTAAAGTGATTTGTTTGATCAATTAATTATTTATATAAAATATAATATTTTGTATTTAATAAAAATAAAAAATCAAAATCAAAAGTGATAAATTAAACAATTCCTTTGACATTTTTATCACTAAAGCAAGTAATTATACCCAATCCGTCAGTTTTATTTACTTACTCGGTTCTTGTCCGGTTGTCCCCATCTTCAAAGCCATCTAGACGTTGTCCATGCATGGGTAACATGTTGTCTACGCATAAAGATTAGTTCACAAAGTCCATGAATAGAATTCCAAAAAGGTGAGAGAGAAGATATGGACCCCACCACTGTGGGGGCACAAACTCCACTATCTCTTTCGTGGGATTTGGTTTGCAAATAAATAAAATCCAATTCAGAAAACAAAATTTATACAAAGCAAACACCTGCTCAACATAACAGAACAGAAAGTTACATAGATCACTTAACAAAGTCCCCAACATGAAGAAAATGAAATTAAAACCAACACTCCCAAACATAACATTCATTTGATATGCTCATTAGACCTCATCTTATAAACTATGACATTAAATAATAATTAATACAGTACGTACACGTAGCGTACACTTTCTCAAAGTGAACTCCACTTGAGTTCACACCGATTTTTATTGTGTGTTGAAGAAGTAGGTAGCTAGGCAGGACACTTGAAACCTGGTGGTGGAGTCTTACCACAGTCAACTAGAACCTCAAGAGCAATTGGTATGATGATGTTAATATTCAGAAGCTTTGCCTTGATGGTGGTGCACAGACACACTGCTGCGTCTAAGTCCACCAGCCCTTGCAGCACTGGGCAGCATGTGTCCTTAGCACTGCTGCCAATGCCAATGTGCACCAACCCACCCAACAAGTCCACACACGCCCCCAGTTTCAGCGTGTCGATGGGGCAAGTTTCTTGTCCTGCGGGCGGCGTTGATGGCGGCGTTGTTGGAGGCGGTGGAGGACACGGCTGTTCAATTGGTGCTGGTGGTGGTTTTGGCACAACGGGAGGCTGCACCACCGGCGGCGGCAGTACAACAGGAGGTTTTGGTACGGGTGGTGGCATTACAACCGGAGGAGGTTTGGGCACGTAAGGTGGCATTACAACGGGAGGAGGTTTGGGCACGTAAGGTGGCATTATAATTGGTGGTTTAGGTATGTAAGGTGGTTTTACGATGGGTGGTTTGGGTACATAGGGTGGTTTGGGGATATGGGGTGGTTTCACGATGGGTGGTTTGGGGATATAGGGTGGTTTCACGATGGGTGGTTTGGGGATATAGGGCGGTTTCACGATGGGTGGTTTGGGGATATAGGGTGGTTTCACGATGGGTGGTTTTGGGACATGGGGTGGTTTAGGTTTGGGGACATGGGGTGGTTTAGGTTTGGGGATATAGGGTGGTTTTGGGACATGGGGTGGTTTAACGATGGGTGGTTTGACATATGGGGGTTTAGGATGAAAGGGTGGTTCAATTTTAGGAGGGTGTTTTGGTGGGAATTTGGGGGGAAGTTTTGGTGGCTTAGTAGGAGGAGTTGGATATGGGCAATAGGGGCAAGCAAGAGAAATGAGCAGAGTGCCCAAGTTGAGGAGAAGGATTAAGAGTGTACCAACATTACACTTACCCATCATTCTTTTTTTACCCAATCTCCCAACCTAGCTCGAGTGGGAAGGAAAACAGAGTTTCTCACACTCGGTATATAATCCAATGAGTGGAGTATTTAGGCTTCTTATAGAGAGGAGAGAGGGCAATATTGAGAGAGAGAGTGAACGAGCAACCTCTAGTACTGTTTTTCTTTGTATTTCATTGAAGGTTTTCCTTTGATAAATTGATTGGAATATTTGTCATTATTCATTGACTTGAGTGACACCACATACCAGTCAGTCTGGATATGGGCTATATCGCAAATAGATTATTAGGGTGTTTTGTTAACCGTGTAGGCTAGGGTATGGTGATGGCTTTTCTTTGGCCTAATTTTCAAACATTGAGAGGACAAGGGGAATCCAAAGGACGCGGTGTTTTGCCATCTAGTGGGCCTACTTGCTTGTCTATTGTGTCCGTGATTCAGCTAATCTACATGTGACTCTCACACAGTCGTCACACTAACCCATTATTTTTTACTATAATATACTCCCTATATCTTTTTCCATGTGTGTGTGTATTATACTTACTAATATATATATACAAAAATTAAGTTCTAGAATAGGCTAAATTTAGATGGGGTGGATATATAAATCGGAGAGTTATAAATGGGAAAAGAGTTTTTATTCTTATAAAAAAATGTGACAATGGTCATCCATCAAAATTAATTAACGTGAATAAAATTATTAAAAATGACCTTATAAAGTTAAGTACGAAAGCAAAATGAGTGCAGAATTCATCTGGCCGACTTGAAAAGAAAAAAACAAAAGGTGATGATAATAACATGCATGTGAAGACAGACCCCTATAGGCTATAGATTTTTTTCAGTCAAGCAAGTAGCTGGCTTGGATGGACCACAAAATCTTATTCTCTATCAAGTTAAATGAATCATGAATCCAGGCTGTCGGCCACGTACGGTGACCCTTTTAGTAGTACTGGAGAGCATACTGCTTCGCACGTATTTGCCATTTTCATTTCAAAGATTGCATGCTTCCAATTTAATTTGTACGTAATTGCTTCTACAACATAATGGATAGGGTCTAAAACCTCTTCACAATTGACAACGTCAGAATAGCTTTTGAGTCTCAAATCCACTTCACCTTCATCCAACCACACAAAGGCCTATGATTTATTCAATCAAGATGGTTCATCTAATTAGATTCAAAATACTAATATCATCGTTTAGAAATGTTCAACAGTGTACATATATTCATTATCATTATATATATACATATGCATATACATATTTTTGCGCAATCAATTGATAAATTCGAAGTAACAATTCCATTGATCATTTGTGGGTTCTAATGCAGAGTGCCTGAATTTGTAACCCACCCAAACCCTTCACTGCAAGCTTGTATATTTGCCGATCATCTCAGCTCAGTACAGGGGAAGTTCACTTTGCTTACCAAAAATGCCAGGCCCATATTTTGGAGATATCATATCGATCCATAAGTAGTGGGAATTGTAAGGAGATGAACAAGGTGACTGGAAGAGATGCTAACGCGGCTGCTGGAATAAGAACCCAATCCTTTTTATGGCCAAATACAAGATAGAGTGTGGCACTGAAAGTTACCATCATGGAAGTTATAGAAAGAAACAGAGTAAGAAGACCGATAATTAACCTTTTGGGAAGAACATAGAGGAAGTCCTCTTCTGCATAGCGCGATGTGAGGATAGACAAGAACATTAACAAGGAAGCTATGGATGTAAATAGAGATATAGCATCTGAAACCGCAAAGATTATGAAACCAATTTCTTTGGAGAAAATTGGGACGCCATCGTCCTGATTGTTGCCGCCTGGAACGGTAATAGCTGCTGCAAATACTACAGTGGCAATGAGTGCTGCTGCAATTGTGCATGAATTTGCTGTGTCTTTCATCCATTTTTCTGCTTCGATTACCAACTCCTTGTGTTCTTCACTGAATACCATTGCAGCAGTTTTTCCATCTTTGTTTTCCGTTCCCCTTAGGGAAGGGATTACAAACTTTTCCACTTCCTACATAACAGCCATAAGTTAAGATTAGTGGAACAACTTCCATTAATTTGTTTTATCATATAAGGTGTAATTTTCAAGTGTTGGAAAAAACATCGATTCTCCCAAAATTCAGTGAGAGAGAATCTGGGGATAAGTGAAAAAGATTTGATGGGCTGAAAATGTTTCTTAAAGAGAAGACAACTAAAAGGAAGATGGCCATCTGTGGGTTATATATATATATATATTCATATGTATTTTATTTGATATAGAGTAATAAGTTGGTCTATGTTTTTGGCTTGAGTAGCATTACCGCATGCAGACAATAATGAACAAATGTCAATAATATAATGGTCGACACCTGACTGTCAATTAAGACACATCGGGCATTGCCAATGCCCCATGCTGTGGTGGCACCATTTATAACACTGCTCTAATCATATTTAGGACAGAAAGTAGCTAAATTTCAATACCTTAAACCATTGTAACTCACGCCGCATCTGTAAAGCTGCACCAGAAACGCGATTAAGTTTATTTGAAGGTGCCAATTTTCCAGCTAAATGCAAGATGTTGTTGCCAAATAAGTCTGCATAGTCTGTAAAACTGCTTATCCTCGGCATTCATATGATATAAGAGCTTGAAAACATTTTCCCAGCGTTCTATAACTGCCACTTGAAATATGACATGACTTTCTTCATCAGTGAACAATTTTGCGGCTGGAAATGTATCCAAAATCTCTTCAACAACCTCATGAATACCCTGTCTTGCAGCCTCAAAGAGAGCTCCTTTGAAATGAGAATCGTAAGCACTCGAATCATTTAAAGATAATATTTCCTCACACAAACATTTAACAAGTTGAAGAGCTTGATGATGTATCAATTTTTTCTCTCGGATGTGCTTGATATGAGGCACTGCAACAATTAATTAAGGAACTTACTCAAGAACGTGATCAATAACATTCAATTGAAACTATGTGTTTACTTAATTATCCCTTACCTAATTCAGCAACTTGCCAAAATACAAAATGCAATTTCTTCCTCACTGTTAAAGAAAACAAAATAAACAAGTTGAAATTTAATTTCAAAGGAAAACACCAGACAACATATATATGAACTAGCTTGTTGCTAATTATCTAACTTTAATTTTAATTAAATTGTTTATATATGATGATCAACTAGCTAGCTATCTACTTTTACTGGAAAAATGTTTGGCTGAAAATTTTGCTAGCTTCCCAAAGTCTAGTTTGACCCAATATGAGAATAGCCAAACAATTCTTGAAGTGACTCGACCAATAGATTGATTGTTTGAAGATCAGACGACTGTTGATAGATAGTAATGACCTCTTCCTTTATATTCTGATACCTCAAGAAAAAGGACTTTTAACACCAAGTAATTGATATAAATGGGAAAAAATGATTTAGAACAAAAGGAAATCAACATTCGTTTCACTGATTCGTCATATAAACAATTGGAATTTGTACAAAGATCAACTTGAAATCAAGTTAAAGATAGGGTTGAAACTACACTAAGACTACTTGTGAGATATTTAAATTTTATGTTGGTGAATTTCGTAGTAAAAACTTGTTGATCGAATTATAATTTTGGTTTATCTTGAGTCTTTTCGTCTTTGGAGCTGAATGGTGAGTGCCTCGATACCATGGAATTAGATGAAGACACCACTTAGAACAGGTATGTGAGCGAGGACGCGTCATTTAAAGGTTGGTGGTCTAGGACTTAGAATTTGAGCTTTTAATTGAAAATTTTTGAATCCTGAAAAGCCCGACCAGTCGCACTTTTAGTGACCGGTCCACCAAGTCTTGGTTGGAACCTTCGGAGAGTTCGACCAGTTGCACTTTGCCTGATATGTGCAAGTTTTTATGTTTTGGTAAGATTTTGTTACCTTTTAACACCAAATTTCTAGAGAAGTCTACAACGTTTTTAAAACCATTTTCTAATTATTTTGAGGACTCTCTAGGTATTTAAACCTCTTGAAACTCCAGCCCTAGAAGGATTTTGGGGGAAACATAGAGAATATTTTTGACACCATTGTTGAAGCTTTGACAGAGATTTTTTTTAGAGCACACACATACACGCGAGTGTTTAGGGTGATGCTCTTCATCTGATCAAAGGGAGTTTCAGAGCCTACTTCAGCTAGTGTCCTTAGTTTTTTCCTGCAGGTTTCCATGTAAAAAATATGGTGTCCGGTTTGTTCTTTCCTTACTTGCTTTACTTTATCATTTTACTTTGTGATTGTGGATGTTGAAATGTTAATTGTTATGTGTAATTAAGCAATCACAAAAATCAAGCAAGAAGACCTATTCACCTCACTTTACTGGTTTACTCCGTTTCACTAAATTAACTAACCACTCCTGCACTGCGCATCTCACACTACAAACTAAAACTACTCCTAAGGAAAGCAGTAAAGTACAAGTAATAAAATAAAGGCAATCGTGTGGTCGAGAAGAGGACCCTTCTCCAAGTTTGCTCCACGCCTATTTATAACCAGCCTTGAGCGGTTTGAAACAGTTACGAGCGGTGAAGCCTAACCGCTAGAAATGGTTAACCAAGGATAGTTATCAGAATAACAGCCTTCCCCAAGTCTTCAGCACCTTTTGCCACGTGCCCAATCACATATGGATTCAAATTTCAAATTTAACCTGACCCTTCGGCACATGCTTAATTCAATTGAAATCACACTTTCAGTTCCGCAACATCTGTCAACCGCTCAAAAGTTTGGCACCATACAAAAGACTCGCACAATTTTCACTCAAAATTTACGCAAAAGCACTTACACGTGGTCCAATCTGGAAAATTCCAGATTTTGATGTAAACAAAAATAACTTTTTCAGACATGTTATTCAGTAGGAGTACTTGATTATACGAAATTTTGTAACAAAACAGAAATGAAATAATGAAATACGCACACTTACCCATGGACATTTGCATCTGCAGGAACCCTTGACAGTTGCTACCTGGATCCTCAATGTTACTGGCATTTGGAGGGTTATTGGTATTTGGAGGGTCAGCGTAGTTGTCCAGCATCACAGGAACACCTTTTTATATGAAATTAGTTTCCTCATCAGTACTGTACAATAGCAATTATTTCTTGAGGTAAATTTGTTTCGGTTTCATGGGGTGTGTGTGAGTGTACCCCTTAATTATTAAATACATGGTCTACCCTATATATATAGTAACCACAAAAATTTATAATACACCTAGCACATAATAAGATAAATAATTATAGACTTAATTTTCATTATATATACCTACCTTATTGACTTAATTTTCAGCATATATTCCTACCTTATTGGGTGAAAAGAAATGGCAAAGAAATATAAACAAATTACAGAAACTAACAAGAATAGATTAAACTTTGCCAGCGGTTGAAGCAACTTCCACTTGGGAATGCAGATGCCTTGCTAGCTATTGCTGCCAGAGAAGAGTCACCATTAGAACTCATCATTGTAGCCATATTATGGTAGTCCTGAAGCAAATCCAATGCCACATCTGTGAAATTTAAATTACAATTAATCCAACTATCACTGTATCAATCAAAATGTTTTCTTATATATATATATATATATATATATATAGCCAAATAAATATATATATAATAAAAGATGGATAAATTCTCTGAGTCAGTACTCACCAATGAATTCAGATTCAATTACATAAATGAGAAGGAAAACCCCACATTGATTTGCAAAGTCATCCCCTACAAGGATGTTCTTGGTCTCGCTTATCAAATATGCAAGTGTATCCTTTTGCTCATATAGAGCAGCATGGTGGACTGGAAAGTGTTTAGCGTTGTTCCTAATAAGAAGCGCAGCTCGGTTATTCTCCACCAATATTATGGCAGCCTCAGTGTTGCCAACCTGTGCAGCGACGTGAAGGGCCGTCTTGCCAAGATAATTTTTTATGACAAGTGCCTCCGTTGGTATTCTTTGCACCACATTCTCCAAAAAATGATGTGCTTTTCTGGTCGCCACTGCTACATGAAGTGCTGTCCCTCCATTATATGTGATTATCGCTGTGAATGCATTTTCATTATTATGTTGGGAGAAGAATCTTTCGGCGCTCTCCCAGTCACCTCTCAGTGCAGCTCTGTGTAATGGCAAGTACAAGCTTATATCCTCATCATCTGTGAACACCAACACATGGTCGGAATTAGTAGATAGTATGTTCCATATGTTTGTTTTTGTTTCAATGTAAAATATTTTTCGAAAAAAAGTTCACTATTTTTGGTGTTTGGATATTAAGAACAGTAAAATGTTTTACAGTTTAGAATAATATTTGCTAAAAGCCTGAAAATGATTTAGAAATCCAATTCACATAAGTCATTTTCCAAAATTCTGAATCAGTCGAACTTGCACAGTTTGAAAAAGACGACGACATACGAAGAAGACTGGAGCATAAGAATTAAATGGGAGGCTTGAAGAAGTGAATTGAAGTTGTAACAGAGATACTCATGGCACTGGTGTAGGAGGAGACAGACGGCATCGACGCCAACAATGCCTGTTACAACATTGGAGATGATGATGATGCGCAGTGGCGATGATGACGATCATGGCGATCAACAGAGGGCTATAATAAATAGGGAGCCTTGACCGTTGTGTTGGTAAGAATGATAAGTCTCTGCCATTTGATGGTGAATTTTGAGTCTAAGGTATGTTATGGTGTTTGGATTTTTGGTGTTCTAGTTGATTACTTAATTGATGACCAGTGTGAATTTGATTTTGTCTTTCAGGTGCTTGACAAAATTTGCATTTGTAAGAGTTTTGGACATGAATTTGAAAAATATTTTACGGATAGTAACCAAACACCAGAAAGTAAGTAAGAAAAAAATTATTTTACTTGAAAAATATTTTACCACAAAAAATGTTTTAAGTCAAAATAAACAGTGCTAGTCTTTTTCAAGTCAATAAAGTAAGTATTTAATTTTTTTTTAAAGTTAAATTGTAGTAACTTTCAAGAAAACAATGTAATAAATGCCCGCCATTTTAAGATGCCCGCCATTTTAAGATGTTAGATTTCTTAATTGATAAGTTGGCTTGGCTCGCCATCCACTTGATGGGTTGTGTGGGACCCAAACTTGAGCCCATATTAATAATTTGGTGGATGGAGAGTCAACTATAATAGGCTATATTCACACTCCCCTTTTCTACATTTGCACTCCCATCTTAAAAGAAATGACAAGTCTAACCCTAATTAGAAGCGAATGATTTTATTTTATTTTTTTCAAATTACACAACTCCCCTTTCAGATATCCCCTCGTAGTCTCCAATCTTTAATGTTTTTGGTAACACAAATAAAAATAAAAAAATCTTTTGACTGGACCCAAAAATAAAGCATAGTACGCCCATAAAAAAAGACCCACAAAAATTCTTCGTTCAATAAATATCCCTTTTGACAGGACCCAAAAAAAATACAAAAGGTTATCTCGGTTGAATAAATTATCACTTTTGACATGACCCACACCAAAAAAAAAAAAAAAACCTCATCTCTATTAACTAAATTCTCTCTTGACAGGTGGAAATAAAAAAGTACTAAATGAAATAAATAAGGTAAAGAAAGAAGAAGTTATAATTAATAGTATAAAGGGTAGTTATTGTATTATACAACAAGGAATGATGCATTAATGAATTAAGGGACCTTCAAGGAATGATGCATTAATGAATTAAGGGACCTTCTAGTCATTTTCTTTTAAAAGAAAAAGAAAAGTGCGGTGGAATCGTAGAGAAGGGGAGTGCAAATATCGCCTCCCTATATATATATATATAATATATAGACTGATGGTGACAATTCAGGGAAAGTAGTAATATAAAGGTGCATTAAGTAACATTTTTGTTTTCTATTTTTGCAGTCTTGAGAAAAAAGAGACACGATTTTGCTTTCCTAAGTGAAGTAGAAAGCAAAATGGCGTTTATTGCCACAATTCTGAAAATAGAAAACAATAACAGTATTTAGTAATACATATTTGTTACAAGATGGACACTATTTTTAAAATTTTTAATTTTTCTATTAGTACCAAAAAACCTTAAATTATGTACGCAATTCATTTATTTCACAAATATTAACGATACCCAATACATGATAATAAAATACAATATCGAATTTAAATCATAAATCCTAATTTTACCAATATATAAGTATAAAATACCATGTATTAAGATAAAAACGCTCTAACCAATTATGTATATAAGTACATGTATATGCATCATGTAATCATTTATTATGTGATATATAATATATTTAACAAATAGTATATTATAATAAATAAAAAATCAAAAATAGATATCTTATATGTAATAAGATACATAATGTATTATAAGCTTATAATTTAATATTTACATATAATATAAAATAGATATGATATAATAATAGAAAATACCTATTGCATAATAATTTTATAATATGATATAAAATTAATAACAAGAATATAATAAATCATAAATATTTTTGTCTCAAAAAATAATTTACACTATTATATACTATGTTATATATTTTTATTAGTAATTAATATGTAGCATTAGTATATAACATGAATTTTGTTTGAAATGAGTGTAGTAATAATAGTAAAAACGTTTTTGTGTTACACTGTCGAAAACATAGGAAGTATTCTTTTTAAGTTTCCTCTTTTTTCACAAAAATGAAAAACGTTTTCTTTTATAGAAAAACAAAAACATATTATTAAACATGATTTTTTTTGTTTTTGTTTTTGTTTTGCCTTTTTAGGGGTTGGCGATAATAAACAAGAAACGTTTCCCTTGTTTCTCTAAAACTACCACTGTTTACTATTTTAAAGAAAATTTAAAATTATCTTAAATAACTAAATCAAGCATGCTCATGACAATCTAAAAAATGACTAATATTTAAATTCGAAGTGATATGAGTGCTAAAACATTGGAAAGCAGGGGCGGTTGCCAACTTACTAAAATGGGAGCCAACTTCTGAATATTGTGAGGATGATGATGATGACATTCTTGTGTACGCGTCTGAATATTGCGAGGGAGAGGATGATGCTGATGCCATTCTTGTTTTGATGTGATCACTCAATGGCTGTAATGCGCTTATAACAGTTTTGATCAACAGCTGTGTGCACTTGTTAGGTGTGACAACTGATCATACTTTATACAAAATCAAGAAGACTTAAAAGAAAGAATTTGACATAAAAAGAAAAAGAACATATATATCACTATCAAATGAGTTGTAATTAAAAGAAAAGTCAGACTCCATATATATACTCACATGATCACTTGACAGATTTCTAATCTTTTATATTTCTCTGAACTAAATCTGTCTTCTATTTTAAAATTTCAGCCCTTAACATTCTAAAAAATTAATAATTAAATTCAAAGTCATACTAAAATTTTGGAAAGCAGGGGTCGTTGCCAACTTACTAGAACGGGAGTCAACGGTGATTGGGAGGAAGATGAAGCCATTCTTGGTTTGAAGTGGTCACTCAATGAAATAATTGGGGAATCCCGGGACCAATAGGAGGAGACAAATGGGGTAGTCCAGGGACCACGTAATAATTTCTCCAAATTGGGAAGGCTCCAGAGAATCCCGCTCTTCTACGGCGCTCCTTTCTTTTCCCATTTTGTGGTTGACGCCGACGGAGATATATGAAGAATCTGGTTGAGGTTGATTTCGTATCATACTCTGTGTCTCTCTCTATCAGTCTATTATCACAGCTGCGATATCCCATTTTATTCATCATCAAAAACCCTAGAAAAACCCTAAACCTCTCATATCATGTCATTACAGCTGCCAAAAACAACAAACACACAATTGATTCAGAAAGATACACAGAACCATCAAACCACAACCATGGAAAATGATTCAGAGAAGCAAGAATATTAAAAAGTCCCTGAATTAGAGTCTATGTGGCTAGAGAGAGAGCCGTCGTGAGGAAGGAGAGGGAATTAGGAATCTGATATGAAACTGACGTTAGGCAAAAGGTCGGCGAAAATAATATATTATTATTATTTGAAAGAAAAAAAAATATAAATAAAAAATGTTTTGATCTGTATTTTCATTCGCTTCACCATTTTAACTTTTCTTTTCTCATCCTGAATCGGTGGCATTGGAACCTTTTATTTTTTTTATTTATTTTTTTATTCTGGTGTCTGTTCTATGATCTCTTGTATTAGTTTGTTTTTAAGCAACCAATTATCTCAAACAGGCGATTTTGTAAGCAACTTTGTAAACTGGTTGAATCACAATCATTAGATCAGCGAGGCCAACACGTGAGACCCATTTGTAATATAATGATGAGTTTGATGGCGTGAATGAAAGAGAATGCTAAGTGGAAATAGAATAAAATGCAAGTAAAAATGGAGTGAAATAAAATGATCATTTTCATTTTATTATTTGATTGTAAATGTTAAATGTATATAAATAGATGGTAATAACTATTTATACATATTGAGTTTTGACCGATTTGAAATTTCAGAGTTTTTCAAAATATCTTTTTTAGTAACAAATAAATTAATTTAACAAAATTAAATTCTTATATAATTTTTTAAAAATAAATGATAGTAATAGCGATGGTAGATGGTGGTGGTGGTGGTAGTGGAGGTGGAGGTGAAAAATGGTAATGGTGTAGGTGGTGGGATGGGAAGGCGGCGGTGAAGGCAATGGTGAAAGGCAATATGGAGTTGGTGGAAGGCAGTGGCAGTAGTATGGTGATGGTGGTGGAAAGAGATAGTGGTGTAGGTGACGGTGGTGGAAGTCAATGGAGTTGATTATGGTGATGGTGGAAGTCAGTGGAGGTGACTGTGGTGAAAGGCGATATTGTCGGTGGTATTAGTGGTTGTAGAAGGCGATGGCGATGGAAGGAGATGGCAACTGTAACGACCCACTCTACCATATGGTATGATATTGTCCGCTTTGGGCCTGAGCTCGCACGGTTTTGCTCTTGGGCTTCACCCCAAAAGGCCTCATACCAATTGGAGATGATGCACTTACATATAAGCACTTCACCTTTCCTCTACCCAAGCGATGTGGGACTGTGCACCCGTAACTTGCCAGTGTGGTAGCCTGTCAGTGTCTCTTGCACCCGCCCACGGTACACCCGCCCACAAGGTCATCACAATCCACCCCCTTTGGAGGCCCGACATCCCCGTCAGCACACTTCCGGCTGGGCCAGGCTCTGATACCATTTGTAACGACCCACTCCATCACATGGTATGATATTGTCCGCTTTGGGTCTGAGCCCGCACGGTTTTGTTCTTGGGCTTTACCCCAAAAGGCCTCATACCAATTGGAGATGATGCACTTACATATAAGTACTTCACATTTCCTCTACCCAAGCGATGTGGGACTTGTGCACCCGTAGCTCGTCAATGTGGTAGCCTGACAGTGTCTCTCGCACCCGCCCACAAGGTCATCACAATCCACCCCCCTTGGAGGCCCGACGTCCTCGTCGGCACACTTCCGGCTGGGTCAAGCTCTGATACCATTTGTAACGACCTACTCCACCATATGGTATGATATTGTCCGCTTTGGGCCTGAGCCCGCACGGTTTTGCTCTTAGGCTTTGTGATACCCCTCGGATCCGAGACATGGGTTGATCAGGCCCAGGCCCAAACCCGAGGGAAATCAAACAATTAAAGTATTTTAAAACGAACACAGATGAAAAAAATGAAATAAGTATAACTATTAAAAGCTGAACAGAATACTAATATAAAATCCTCAATAGCCTGATAAAACTTAA